AAATGATTTGATGGCGCAACGAGTCATGTTACGACAAGTTTTCTCCCCGAATTCCAACCAAGCAAAATGTTAAGTTACATGGGATAATTACAAAATTACGTAGGTTTTTTTGATACCGCATTGCTAATGACGCAAAATTGCTAATGATGTAAAACCTTCGAAATCAATTATCCGGATTTACGATTATACGGGATTCTACTGTACGTCAGGTAGCTAAGGTAACTAGCGCCGAAGCTGACAGTTTGGCAACGCATCGGCAATGCCGCGAGTTTAGATGCTCTTGGCAGTAATCACTAACCTAATGAACCTAATAACATGTGAACCACTCTTCCCTAATAAAAAGTAGCTCGAATGTCCTTTCCCAAACATGGTAGTTCATTCGAATTAATGTGATTAAACAAACGAAACGCCGTATATATCACATAGTCACATCCACCGGCGTCACAATCGCCACGGGTTGTTCGTCGGTCCCAAAACACCGTCCAATTGAACCGGTCTCGCGACAGTCTCGATTGAAACGTACGGGCGGGCATTGCATGCCGGTGCGCATGAATGGCGTTTAATTTAAACACTTAACTTAGCTGTGTGTGCTGGGGGGCAAGGGGGGAACAAAAAGCGGACTTGCGACCCGGGCGGCATAATTTACCAGCAATAGCTTCATGAATCAGACGGGCGAGCGTGCGCCCGCGCTCCTCGGATACCGGAATGCGCGTGGTACAAGCGATAAGCTTAAGCGTTTTAATCTTGCGACCCAAAATTTTTTTTCAAAATTTCTCTCACCAACTCTAGTCATTCATTTCGGTTTTGCAAATGGTCACTGTTTTATCATTATCCTTTTGGGATGGAAGAGACTACAATTAAATTTTATTTAAAAATTTAACGTTTAAGTTATCTAAAGTAAATCCTTCAATATTCTAAAAAGGGATACAGTTTATGTAATACGTGTTGCTATATATATTAATTATTATTTTCGGTCGACTTTATTGAAAAACAGTTCAAACAGCATGTTAAATTAACCTCTGAACAATCTATCAAATGGCCTTTCTTCTCTAGTGTGGGCTAATATAGTGAATAAGCGATAGTTTTGACGCCCAAAATAAACAATCATAAATTAAATAAAGTAATTTGGTATTCCACACGTAACTCGTGCTGTTAGCGCAGTAATTAGACACCGCCCTATTTATATCTTAGTACAGGTTCGATGTCTAACTCCTGTTTCCACCAACGCAAAACGGGGTTGTCAACGAACCGGGATCAAGATAAAGACTGAATGATTTGTTGATTCTGTGTCCTCGTGTTACAGGCGTAAATGATCCGTCTGGTTCGGATCATTTCTGTGTTTGATACAATCCAATGCTAATTATTCATTCACTCGCTAAAAGCGAAAAAAAAGAAGTCCATAATGTACCCTAATAACACATTCAGGGGTCTCAAAAGTTTGCAATGGATGAATGAAAATTTATTCATATCAATTAATAATATCATTAATACGATATAAAAAATTCTAACATAATATTATCATATTATGTTAGAATTTTCATATTAATGTTTTTTTTTTATTTTAGCAAGTATGGAGTAGTTAACTATACAAACGATTGACCCTCGTCCAAGCATTAGAATAGAAATATTTCAGAAAAACAAGTAAGTTACAACGTAGCGTTTTATATTCAATATTTAGTCGTAGAAGAGCGTAGGGGAGGAATTCGCGGAGCTCTTGCCGCAAAATAGCTTCGACGACGTGCCGATTTATCGACAGACTGCGGACGGGCGGTCTGCGTGTGTCGCGCCGCGGGCGAGTCTGCGACCGCCCCAAGACTGGCTGGATGCGATTCCAGCGTTCGCATTGTTAAATTTCATTTTTCGAACGTCCGCATTTGGAAATTCGTTTCTCGAAAGTTCCCGTTTCGAAAATTCACGATTCGAATAGTCATTTTTCGATGCGAATGCGTCTTCTATGCGAATCTACTTACGTACCTATTGACATTTATGGATATTTATAAGCTCGCTTGCCACCTCGCATACATAAAAAAATCATAATCATTGCCCGAAACAGGCCGAAATAATGTTTAACTTTTAATACAGTTATACAGGATTTGATATTGATATCAGAGTAGTAAGCAAAAAGTAGTTGTCTTTCTGATTCGGTTGGCTTGAAAAAGCTGAGGTTTAAAAAAAAGTCGTATAAAATTCACTCATTCAATACTTACGTACGTCTCCCTTCGCCTTTGATAAAACATACTGTATACTTTGGCCGAGTAAATATTTCTTCACGTCCAATTCTATTACGTCTACTTCACTTGGTGTCCTCAACTGGTTCATATCACAACGGCTTTGATTGTAGTGTAAAAAGAAATCGTACCGTGTTACAAATCCGCGAAGAAAGAGCTCTGGTCTCAAGGTGATCGTTGTTTTCATCAACCTGAATCCGCTTAAAGACCGTCCCACTTTCGCGGGGCTGTGCAGTAAATAATGACCCCCCGTGGAGACGGGCCGACCAGCTTCGACCTAGAATGCAGTAATGAATGAAAGCTACGTTGCACCGCAAACTAGATATTAGCCGTTCCAAAGGAGGATAAACAGCCAAACTGTCGGCTAGATATTAGCGATACTTCCCTCGAAAACCATTCAATAGAACCTTTGCAATACTCGTGTTCAACGCGCACTTTGACTCGGCTACGCACGGGTTCCATGTATTATACATATAAAACTTCCTCTTGAATCACTCTATCTATTAAATAAACGGCATCGAGATCCGTTGCGTAGTTTTAAATATCTAAGCATACAAAGGGACAGATAGACAGCGGAACGACTTTATTTTATACTATGTAGTGATGGCAAAGCATCTGCAACTCTACGGAATCTAAAATTACTGAAGGTAGTGGATAATGGAGCGAATGTAATCGGCAACAAAATAACTACAAACATTAATTGTATACAATACAAAAGTAGAAGCATATATTTATTTCTTATTTTATATCTAAGCAATCGGAGCAATGCTGTAATGTATTGTGTTACACATATTTATCGTGTACCTATAGATAAAAGGAAGTTTTTATACTAAAATCACTAAAAATTACATAATCCAAATAAATTTACGTATGTGCGTGCATGTGTTCGTACGTACGTTTTAATTGCCTCTTGAAACGTTTTGCGTTCTTTCGATTCAGAATGAAAGAAAGAAAGAAGTAACGGTCGAATCACAATAGTAAAATCCATAATAATATTATAAATGCGAAAGAAACTCTGTCTGTCTGTCTCGCTTTCACGCCAGAACTACTTAACCGATTTGAATGAACTTTGGTACACATACAGTCTAGAGCCTGCGAACGGATATAGGCTATTTTTTAATTGGAAAAAAGTGTTGTAAAGGGTTAAAAAGGGGAAAGAAAAGTTTTATGAAAGTATTGCCATTTTCAAAACAAGAAGCATGAAACTTATATTTTAGGCTGTGGATTAGATATAAATAAATATGCCATTCAAAGTTTGTAAAAATGTTACCACGCGGTCGAAATCGAGGGCACAGCTAGTAGTATATAAAAATAATATTGGAATAATTTAAAATAAATGTAAACACAACAAAAAAATAAGTGAAGGTCTTTGTAACAGCATAGAAGACCGTTGAACGGATATAATATTACCACTTTCGAGACATATATCTTAATATTCAGTGCCTCGAATAAGTTTACCTTTTATCAGTTACCTTCAATGCAAGCTAATACTCTGGGAGCAGGGAGCAGTTTATCTCCTCATCGGCCGTTATGCCGTCGACGCCTGAACTGCACAATTCGGGTTTACAGTGTGCACGTTATCTGTGTGTGCGGTTTCATACTTCCGTATAACTGTAGCGTTGGCTTAGAGGCGGGGAACATTTTTGAGTAGCTGAAACGTAGCCACTAAAGAGAAGTGGGGATTTTTTATTTTCTTAGTGCAGAATGGTTTTATTTTGGTTTTTTCACATGTGCAGACTCTGTTTGTTCTTTCAGCCAGTGAGCTGTTGAGCATATAAAAAAACTGCATGTATATAAACGAGGAAGAGCTAGAAGCGAGAAACATGTTAAAACATAATAGCGTGGTATCCACACAATTTTTTGCATAATAATTGAATTTAGCCGTGATAGCTCAGTGTCCGGGCGCTCGCTTTTAATTCAATATACTCGAGCAACCTGGGTTCGATCTCTGGTGCCGGCACCAATGAAATTGTTAATTTTAAGTGCTGAATTATCATGTACTCAACGGTGAAGGAAAACATCGTGAGGAAACCTGCGTATTTTCGAAATAATAACAAAAAAATATATTTCGAAGATATGTGAAGTCCGCCAATCAGCAGTGGGGCCGCGTGGTGAACTATGCCCTGATACCCTCTGTTTAAAGGAGGCCTTTGCCCAGCAGTGGGACATGTATAGTACTTTACTTTTTTACTTTAATTTAATTTAAAAGATTTAGTCTCCTTTTGTCCGGGGAATAAAGTGTAAATTTTATCCTATGTTAACTTACCAATTGAGTTCTCCGAAAAGAAAAAGAGAGAGGGAGAAAGAAACCATATTTTCCTTGTAAAATAATTAACGATTTCATTAAAGTAGATGTCTTGATAACTATTTGTCAATCATAAAAGTGTGTGTAATTCAACTAAACAACTCAGGTTACCTCACTCTATTTTATTTTATAGATTCGAAAATAAAATAGAGTGAGGTAACCTGAGCCCACTTTATTAAAAGGTGGCATCTGCAACCCTTCGAGTGTTGACATCTGAGAGTGTTTAATTTTTTTTAATATCACCGTTTGCACTTAAAAATATATGTCTGAAACAATGTACTTTTCACGAAGTTAATTTTGAACATAGTAGCAGAATTCCCTGGCATATTGTTATTTCGGGCAATTAAACGCACGACCGACGGACAAATATATCAAACCGCAGCCGTGCGTTTGAAAGAGTAAATGAACCGCGAGACAGCGCGTCCGCGATGATACAGTGGTCCCGAATCATTTAATAATTAAATAGAATGGCTTACTGCATTATTTATGCCGGCACGAAATCGCCGCTGCAGTTTATCGCGCCATCTGGCGTCGGCGCGCGCGAATATCGCCCTTATTGCCGCACGCGTGAGTCCACGGTGGCGTGGACGGGCCGGGGCAGATGTAATTAACTGCACCGCCGAGTGTACGGGCATGATTTTCACACTGACTTCATAATTCACAAACGGCACGCCACCCCGGCGGAAGGGCTAGAGCGACTGCGCCATCTCATTAGGCCCGAAGATAAATAAAGCGAGCAATATAAAGGAGTGACTCGGCATTGCCCCGCGCTATCTGAGCCACAGGCGCAAAATACTCCTTGTTTTCTATCACTCAGACATGATGAGGGTGGTTGCAGTTTGAGGCGAGTCTCATTTGTATTATTCTCATAGAACGACTTAGTCTCATTTGTGTTATTCTCATAGAACGATTCGCTTTTGTAGATACAGGTTCGAATCGAAAAGTAAAGTATGTAGATACAGGTTCGACAGGTTCGTAACAGTAAAGTATCAGTCTATTAATTGTCCCACTGCTGGGCAAAGGCCTCCTCTGTACAGAGGGTATTAGGGCATAGTCCACCACGCGGCCCCACTTGCAGATTGGAGAACTTGACATACCTTCGAAAAAAATTTTTGTTATTATTTCGAAAATATGCAGGTTTCCTCACGATGTTTTCTTTCACCGCTGAGCACGTGATAATTAAAATTAACAATTTCATTGGTATCGGCATCGGGGATCGACCTCAGGTTGCTCGAGTATATTGAATTGAAGGCGAGCGCCCGGACACTGGGCTATCACGGCTGGCATATCGAATCGTGGTGGCATAAAAATGTTTACGAGGTCTAACCAGATATAACAAGTACGTGTAGAACTCGCGCAGGAAGGGCTCCGTACCATTATCTACAAAAACGGCAAAAAATCATGTCTGTTGTATGAGAGCCCCACTTGAATATTTTTTTATTGTTTTTTAGATTTTGTGGTTACAGCGGTAACAGAAATACATCATCTGTGAAAATTTCCACTGGGTAACAATCACGAAATACAGCCTGGTGACAGACGGACGGACGCACAGACAGACAGACAGCGGAGTCTTAGTAATAGATGCATTACGTAAAGCGTTGGTCTTGCCGCTTCACTTTTGGAATATATAGCTAAAGCAACAACGACAAGATTATAAAATCTTGACCTAATACGACAAATTTCTGATAAAATTTAAAATCAACAAGTAAACACATCGTAACGTTAACATCTAGATTTATGTATAATACCTACTACTCAATACCTGACATCCTTATTGCCTACCAGATATTCATGGATAAATAACAGACACACCGCGTTCTGGCCGATTTTTGCACGTGATAAATCCAAAGAACGGCAGTATTATTCGCGTAAGCGTAATAAATCGTAATGCGGAACGTACTCTTATAATATTTTATATTGTTTCAGATCCCAGCACGATACCGCGGTGTATTATATATGATACACAAAGCTCATAACTACGTGAGGTGCGTACACCATTGCCGCTGGAGCAAATCGTCCAACATTCTGATGCATTAAATTTTCATGTTTCGCGTCACATTAAACTTCTTCGCTTAGGTAGGAGCGCTTTATAGCTTTGCGGTTTGATTTTTTAAACGCAACGTAAATTGAAAGACTGAAAGATTTGGATAGAAACTGTAGTACATTTTGCATATAATGGTACGAAGCGTCTTAAAATGTACTTTCAAATCTTTTTTCTTATAATGAAAGGTTGAACCTTTATAATGTATAGATATAGGCCGTGCAACAGCTTCGGTTGTTGCACAAACGAGCAGTCTCGTCCCTGGAAGCCAAAATTACACGACAAAAACCTAAACGTAAATTACCTCGTATATGTAGACGTACATATGATTCTTATAGCGGTTAAGTTTTATCTATTAGTTTGGCACCACACACCATGATACTCGTGAAATCCTCAAACAGCATTAACAACTAAATGAAAAAGCCGCCGAATATTACTAAGAAACATAGTCCTTACTACGCATCCGAGCGAAAATCACGATACTGTATCGACTAAAAGCCCAATAAATATTCATAGGGCCGCACGAACGTTTCCATCCGAAACAACATTTGCCGAGGATACGGGCGGGGCGGAAAAAACGGAGAGCGCCTACGCCACAAGTTAAAAACTCGAAAGGACCATTCATTGGAACGAAATCCCTTCCGAGAACACTTCGCATAATGCGATACCGCGTTTATTCCGTTCCATTGATATACAGTGAATACTATTACTAAGGTCGCCGCATAAAACGATCGGCCCATACACTAACAGCCGAAGGGGTCGTTTCGAGATATGAACCCGCGCGGACTTGGTCAAATAAATACAAACACGGTTGACTAAGTGATCCGCAAAAACAATCCTCGTCCTCACGGGTCGCGTGTTTCTTTATTGAGATTTTCGTTACGCTCACCGATGCTTAATGTATTTTCTGTAGGCATTATGACTAAGGCTAGACTTATATCGATAGATGTGTGTGTTGACATATCCTGAATTAAATTTCTCACACATAGGAAATGTCATGAGTAGGTATTCGTAAATGTAAACACACCTAATTCTCTAGTATTAACCTTATTCTCTAGTAGCATGTTTTTACTCAGGCTGTGATGTGATTGCCGAACGTACTTGAATGAAATTTAATATAACACACTCAAAGTAAATACTCTTATCCCTTAAATTTACGTGAAGTCGCAAGTGCTACAATGAAATGTAAAAGTCAAGTCCATCGTCGTTCAATTAACTCTTAATAATGTACGTTTCATTCGTTACACGAATTCCGCCACGCGCACCGGCAGAAGACTCACTTAAATCCCGCAAAAGGTGAAACAAAAAGATTGATCGCCCATTCCCATTCCGGTCGCGAGGCGCGTCGGGACAGGGCGCACGTGTTGAGTGCGCCGGCGCATGCGGTTAGCGCCGCCCGAGCCCGGGACGGATGCGCGGGCGAGGCGCGGCTCACGCTGTGCCCCAGGTCCCAGGTCGACGCATAATCGCAGCAACGTATGCGAATGTTCGCGCCAGCGTGCTTGTTTCGCGTCCGAACGGTTTAACGGATCGATTGAAGTTATCAGTGCTGTATATGTTTAGACGATGGAATAATATACAGCGTGTCTTTACAATCGCGACAATAAATGAACACACATATAGGGGATAACTTTTTAAAATTGTATTAAACATCAATAATCAACATTGTTAAACATCAATATTTACAGAGTTATTGGATTTTCCAAAACAAAGAATTTTAGAACACCCTTACCTATAAAACTGTAACGTAAAGTTCATTTGTAAAGGTCACAAAGCATAAGAATGGGTTGAATGAATTTAAAAGAAACAAAACATACTGTTAGAAGGAGAAGCTTGTAATGCGACGCTGTGGCGCGAGTTGTATAGGTGTTACAATTTTTGTTTCTTTTTAACTTAATTAGTTTGTTTGAAAAATATTTTTTTTAATTATGGATTTTGTTTAACGTTAATATTTTTTTATGATTATTGGCAAGTAGCGTTAGACGTGTGTTCATTTATTGTCGCGATGGTAATGACACGCTGTATATAGGCTATATTTGATCTCATAGTATAAAACAAAGTCGTCCCGTTGTCTGTATGCTTAGATCTTTAAAACTACGCAACGGATCTTGTTGGTTTTTTTTACTAGAATGATTCAAGAGCAAGGTTCATTGTATAATACATTGCACCCGTGCGAAGCCGGGGCGGGTCGCTAGAATTAGTATAAGCTACATTGTTGAAAACGCATAGCGAAGCTAATTCAAACTGTCATAGTTATTTACGAATACAGGCCGCGGGTTTTACTGGCAGTAGAAGGCGAGTGGAAACCAGTTTTCCGTTTTACAGATTTCTCACTCGCGGTCTTATCGAAACTGGTCTGGAAAATAAAACAAAAAAATGTTCATGGACCTCGGTTACTCTCAAACTATCACTTCTAACAAACTACGGCGGCCGTGGTACTTCCCCGAATGGTCCATCAAAGCAATGCAGATTATATTTATGTAATTGTGTTTCATGTACGTAAGCTAAGGGCTGATATGTGTTGGTGGTTGAAATGGAGAAGGGAACATTAAAAAATAAAACAACGAACAATATCCGCAAGCTTACATAGGTAATGCGGCACGAGATTCAATACACCTGCACGTAAACTCGCTCCCGCACATTCAGCCCGGTCGTCCTGCACAAAGCGTGGCTCAATTGGGAAGCGGACGGCGTTTCAGTTAGGTTCCGCTAGAGTTCGTTAATATTTCACATTGGTTGACTAATATTACTAGATTTCTCGTTTATTTTTCTACAAATTTTACAGTACTAACCGAATATTATTTTCTGATCGAAAGATCTCTACTAAAAAAGATCTTCTTGTCCTTAATTGCATTGTGCCTTGTAAATATAAGAAATTGAAACAATTTTATAATTAACAATGTTGCAGATCTATATTGGAAAGATAAGTTGTCATTAAGATTTTACGTGTCTTTTTCTACTATCTTACGTTTTAACGTATCTCGGTTGTCTAGTGACATTTTTTCATATACAAGTCGCATCCCAGTCCGCCAACTCTTGACATTTGGGCCACGCGCAGGTGAACCGCCTCGCCTCAGCCCGGCTTAGCATAACAAACCGCTGGGAGCACTTGCGACCTTTCGCGCCGCATTGGCACCCAGCGCCGGCGCATTCCATTTGAATGGCGCGTTAATATTTCATGAACTGAAATTTTAATTTGAAATTCGATTCGCAACGCCACCGGCTGCGACGCTCTGCGGTCCTGTTTTGTTTACTTTGCTACGAGTACACTCCGTGTCCCCGATAACTGTCTTGCGGAACGTTAGCTGTTCAATTTATCGCCCCCAGTTTCGATACCGTCGAAAGGGTGCCATTTCGTTGTTAATGTTCCTCAGGGATGGTAATACAACACTGTTTTCATGCCGTAACTGGTGTGAAAAACGGCGCTATTTCGACGCACGAGACTACAATTTACTGTAGCATCCAGAAAAATTATGTCATCTCTTAAATAAGAAGTTTTGTTTCTATTTTATTAAAAATATGATTGGTGTTTCAGTACGTTTCTTGTCTATTTTATGTTTAATAAATTATGTGGCCAACAAATGTGAAAAGACCGCCGCAGTGTTCCTGTCTGGCTGTCGTGACGCAATCTATATAACAAGTGTTTCAACGCGTATCCAATTCGGAATTGTTTTCCACAAACGGAGTACATGAATGTATTAATATTTGTTCACGCTTGCCAGTTTCCCTGTTCTTACGGTGCGTAATGCTACGAATGTTTGAAATTATTCCCGCAAACATGATTATGGAATCGTTCCAAGTCGGCACAACTTGTTCGCGTTTCGGAAACACGAGAATGCACGAAAGGTAGGGACTGTTATCCCGTTAAACAGTGCTACTTTGTGTCTGGTTAGTATATTAGATATTTATAGAGGTAGGCAAATATAAGTTATTCGGTTTTTATTTATTTCATGTAGTCGTCAAAAGCTGTTTCTTACGTGATTCACCAATACTTATGTTATTATAGACCGAATATTTGGACGAGAGATTTTTTTTTTCCAAATCCTTTTACTGGCTATTCAAAACAAGGTAGTAAGTTTGTGAGGAGGTTCTCTAGTTCCAGCGCTTACCCTTACATACATAGATTTATATGTTTTATGTCGAAAAGTCCACGCGGGCTATGTTGCGGGATAAATTATTACCATATACGTGTATAGCCTAATTGCGTTGGTTATTTTTCGGGGCGCCCCGCTCTCTAATGGAAATATCGATTGTGTCAAATCGTGTTACTAACAGTTTTGTATTGGTGCAATTTAAATGGAGCTTCCCACGAGTCGCAAGCTAACACCGGCCCGTGTGTGCCGACGTATCGTTCTATTAATCGAATAAATATTGTGTTTAGGCGGTGGCGCCAAACGTGTTTGCCGTTTAGAGATGTCGAAACATCGAACTGTTTGCCCGCGTATCTACTTCACGGCGATGTTGACTCCTGTGTGTAATGAGAAACGTGTATTACATTGAATTGAATTATTAATTTCAAAGACGTGTTTGTCTTGCCCAACCTGAGTCCCGTTTGTATTTAGTATAAGTGCCTGAATTTTGTATATTTACTTAAAATATCTTTAATTACATCGAGTCGCTGACACTAGTCGCTTTAAAACTACACCCATTCCCGGTGTAGTTTTAAAGGGAGCAAAGAGAAACAGCCGATGATAAAGAGGCCTGTGACTGTGCTAGGGTCACGCAGTAGTTTTTGCTGTTGCACTAATGAGCAGGCTCGTCCGAGGTAGTTCCACGGCCAAACAGAAGTCCAGCGTAAAATGGAAGTATTATACTTACGCCTTTCGTCTTGTAGGTAAGCATCTTGTAAGCAAGCATCTGCAATCCGTAAAGTGTTGTAAATGGCCATGGGCATCGTTAATCACATAACACGAGAAGAACCGCGTGCCCGCTTGACTTTTCACATAAAAAAGAGGCACCGTTTAAAACAGACCCAACGCCGCGTTAAAAGCCCGCCCATTAAACCCGATAACTCGATTCGGAGCATAACGCTCCATTTTATATAATTTCACAGCTCGACCGGAATTAACGGGGCGCTCCTTCCCATCGATAAATTTCATCGATAACCGCAGACTCGATATCATCCAGGGCCGGCCCTATCCTCCAATAATGCGATAGCGCAAATCGCGCGCGTGCCTCGTTAATCTTAAATGGCGGGAGATTCGCCCGCTTCAATGACGAATTTAATTTGAACGGACCACAGAATATATATATCATTGTTTAATACGTCCGCGACTATTTTTTGGCGCCCCATAGCGATTTAAAAACTCTCATGTTTATTCATTGGAGCATCGCGTATTGTCATATTGTATTAAACTTCTTTGGACGATTTTATTATCACTTTTTTATTAAATTTCTTATAATATTCTGAACGCGAAATAAATCCAAATTCATTGCTAAATGAAACTATTTTACGGATTTTATCGCGTTAAATTATATTTTTAATTCCGATAATTAGATTCCGGAAAGGATTCCATAGAGTTTAACGATATATAATATTCGCGTAAAAACAAGAAATGCTTTAGTCATTATTCTCACTAATTAATATTTTATATTTCTTCATCATCATCATTTCAAACTATTTGAGCCCAGTGCTGAAAATAAGCCTTTCTCCTTCTTCCTGAGTCACATGTATCCAACGACTTCTTGCACAGGTTGCTGCATCTAGTGGGGGGGTCCTACACTATGATGGCCAATACAAGGCTGCCACGCGAGAACTTTTCAAAGCTTTATTCTCCATCGTTTATCGAAGTTATATGACCGGCCCATTTTTTATTTATCATACAATTTTCTATGGCAAATGTGTGCTACGAATAATTAATGTGGTATCCAACAATAAAGGACTAAGTAAAAGCACAACAAAGGCTTTCCCCAACGTTAAGTGTCCGATACTTCTGTCTTGTGTCCAATAACCTTGGCTTATACTTAATCAACAAACAACACTGCCTACACCATTAGACGAAAAACGCAAGTGCATGTATTTCGACAAACATTTGTCTTTGCTGCATGCTCAAAACTGCAGCGAACCATAATGACCGTTTTTGTCAAATGTCGCGTCTATACAGTCCCATAAATGGCTTGCGCGTAAGCAACGGCAAACACCGGTGGCATCTAAACCACTTAAAGCTCTCCAAGTGTACAACAAACGAATTTGCCCACTTCTTGACGCAGGGGCCAGTGGGAATTTTTTTTCTTAACGGTCACACTTCTGTTATCCCACGTTAGATCGATGAATAAACATGGCCAAACATTGTTTGCGTTTGTCACTTGTATTATGTTACTCTTGTCATCTTATCTGTTTGCGTAAGCTCATGACTGTGTTTCCGTACGGTCACCCCGCACGATAAAAAAGGTTTGACCAAACGACGGCCCGCACACATGGTCGAGATGTATAAAATTTACCAGTTTAGTAATTTAAAAAACA